TCCTCTTCTCTTCTCCTCTCCCTCTCCCTCTCCCTCTCCCTCTCCCCTCCTCCCTCCCCCTCTCCCCCCTCCCGTCCTCTCCCTCCCTCCCTCCCTCCTCCTTCCCTCCTCTCTCTCATCCTTATCAAAACCAACATATATTACCGTCAGGAGAAAGGGTTCCAGTGCTCTATGGAAAGCGCACCTGACCCTTGTCCGATCGTGCAGGAGAGACGAGAGAGAAAAACGGTCACGTATTGGTTTGGTCATAACATTCTTGTGTTATCATTAGCACGCTACGTGTGCGCCTGACGTGCAGCCTCGGAGGTAGGGTGAGGAATGGAACACACCTCTTTTCTCTTTGTCTTTTTTCTGTCTTCTCATTGCTCTCTTTTTTTCTCTGTCTGTTTATCTGGCTCTCCTGATCCTTTTCTGTTCTCCTCTCTCTTTTCGCATCTTTCATTCTTCACATCACTCTCTTCTTTCTCTCTTCCTTCTCTCCCTCTCTTTTCTCTTTCTCGTTCTCCTTCCTCTCTCTCTCATTCCTTCACTCTCCTCTCTCTCAGTCTCTCTCTCTCTTCTCTCTCGCTCCATCTCTCTCGCGTCCCTTTATCACTTCTCTTTAGAACAGCCACGAGGAAACGATATGTCATTCCCCAACATCTCATTACACAGTTTGCATGACCCCAATTATACACCTAGACCTCGTTTGAGCTTTGTTTCTTTGTCTAACGATGGAAAAAATGGGTCTGGTCTCGTCTACTTAGCTCCAGGTGTGGCCGGGTTTCGTGTCCGCGCCGCAAGTGACAATGATAAAAGTCAAGTCAACCTGTTAATATTCGTTTTTCTTTTCTTCTTTTTTTTATGCCTGATGGGATCTCGTTGCCACAATGGCGGTGTCCGGACTTTCGTGTGATTGTCCGAGACTGGTTTCATGCTACGACGTTTTGTGGCTGTTTCAGTGATAAACGCGTACGCACGGAGGCATAACAGAGAAAGAGAGAGTAGAAAGAAAGAGTGAGAGAGATGAGGGAGAGAGACAGACAGAGATAGAGAAGAGAGAGAGAGAGATAAGAGAAAGAGAAGGAGAGAGACAGATAGAGAGAGAGAGAAGAGAGAGAGAAGAGAGAGAGAGAGAGAGAGAGAGAGAGAGAGAGAGAGAGAGAGAGAGAGAAGAGAGAGAGAGAGAGAGAGAGAGAGAGAGAGAGAGAGAGAGAAAGAAAGAGAGAGAGAGAAAATGAATCACACAATAATCCCCCAATCCATTATGATCATCCTCAGACTATAAAATATTCCCCTGTTTGCTGCCTGGGACCGCAGCGGCGGCGTTCACGAATGAGCGAAAAAAGGCACAGCAGCCAATAAAGCAGGCAGAGGGAGGTGGAGGAAATTCCAGCCGGTGAGAAACAGCAGGCAAAACGCGTCACAGGATTCGATAGCGCCGCCCCTCACCCTGACCTCCTCTTCCTCCCTTCTCTGTCGCGTTTCTTAGGGGGGCGCCGATCCCGTCGATAATTTAATGAAAGTTCAGTAATCTGGCTAACGACTCTTATATCTATATCTAAATAGGATTAGTCTCTGTATTTATAGAGGTCTGAGAAAGCGGGTCTAGTATAAACGGATTCCAAACGGATGAATAGCATTGCTCAGGGAGGGAGATACTGTTTGGGCTCAGAGACTAAAAATACTTATGATAAAGTGGATTTAGTAAGGTTACCACGTTGAGAGAGCACTTTGGATTTAGTTCTCTTTATGAATCTATTGAAATAGATGATGAAATTGAAATAATAAGGAAAGGTATAATTCGAGCACTTTGAATTTAGTTCCATTTATGAATGTATTGAAATAGATCATGGAATTGAAATAATAAGGAAAGGTATAATTCGACTATTTACTTTACGTCCGTCTCCCCGCTTGCATGTTTGTCGTAGGAGTCGGATTCTGCCCGTGTTGCTTTTGTACCGTTTCTTGCAGTCCTTCTATTCAGTCACTTTTTTTTATATTGGTGTTTGATGCATAAAAGCCGAGCCGAGATATGATCAGGTCTCCATTTTTTCTTTCCTTCCTTTTGTCGTGTCTCTTTCTCCTCCCTCCTCTTCTCCTTCTCCTCCTCCTCCTCCTCCTCCTCCACTTCCCAGTCCAGCCTCATTCCACACACACCCTTTTAGGTAAAACTGTTTTAAGCCTCCTTGGCCTCCCACTTCCCCCTCCGCCCCTCTGCCTGCGCATCGGGTGATCGCAGCCGAGGCCGAGAAAACACGGCATATAGAGATGAAAGGTTCACTTTGGCGAGTCGGGGATAACAGGGGCAAGACCCATTAGCGGCTGCTTGTTGACCGTCCCGCTGTGTGTTGTTGCCGGAGCGCCGTCGCCCCATACACGCCTCGCTCGTCCGTCTTGGAGTCCCTCTCTCTTCTATCTTCTCCGCCTGCGTCTTGGCTTCTTTGTCGCCTTTGTTCAGCTTCCTCTGTCTGTTCGAGGGCGAATTTCTCGTCTTTTCTTTGGCCCTTCAGGCTTCTTCGACGGTGGAGGTACGCTGGTCGGATTCTGGTCTCGATTCATTTGGTTTCATATGTTTTTTGTTTGTTTGTTTGTTTCGCCAGGACGCGTCTCGCAGGAGCAGGAGAGAAATCCTGTTATGAAGGTCACGTGAGGATTTGTTATCCCGTCACATTTGGAACTAACAGCGGCACTGGTGGGGGGGGGGGGGGATCTGTGGACCACTTATAAATCGTAGGAGATAATCTAGGTCTTGTAAAGTCCCTTCGGTCACGCCCTCACGCCAACGCCCGTCCGGTGTTGGCCCGACGACATCCGAGGGCGGTCGCGCTGTGGGTGTTCGGATCCGATGGGCGTGTTCGGAAGGCTTTCTGGACCTGAGGTTTCGGATAGAGGTGAACAAGATAGTTCGACACTTTCGTTACATGTTCATTCACGCTGAAGGTCCAGGGTTGCCACACGAAAGAGCCGAGGCCTATTTCAATTTTCTTTATCATTCTGACAGATATTATGTATGTATGTATATGTATGTGTAATATCTGTTTAATTTTCTATCATGCATACATACATAACATACATATACATATATAATATAAGGCATACATATATATACATTACATACATACATAAAGGCATACATACATACATACATAACATACATACATGAAGGCATACATACATACATACTTATCTGTACATAGCTTGCGTTTTTATTAATCTATTGTAATTCATTTCCTTGTGGTCTTGGCGCTGCCCAGCATGTCAGATAAACAAAGGGACACATTACAAGCCCAAAGTAGGCCTATGGCTGTCATTATTTTCTTTCTCTTGTTATGCAGATTTACGCCAGAACGTTGTCGATGCTATGTTCTCTCTCTCTCTTTCTGTTTATCTCTCTCCCATTAGCTGTGGTTGGGTTGATTGATTGTCTGTCTGTCTGTCTGTCATTGCTAGTCTTATAACAGGGCTATACAGCTCTCTCTCTCTATCTATCTACTCTATCTCTTCTCTCTCTCTCTCTCTCTCTCTCTCTCTCTCTCTCTCTCTCTCATCTCTCTTCTCTCTCTCTCTCTCTCTCTCTCTCTCTCTCTCACTCTCTCTCTCTCTCTCTCTCTCTCTCTCTCTCTCTCTCCTCTCTCTCCTCTCTCTCACTCTCTCTCTCTCTCTCTCCCTCCCTCTCCTCTCCCTCTCTCCTCTTTGTCTCCCTCTATCTCCTACCTTCTCTTCTCCTATTCCCCCATTTATCTCTTTGTATATCCTCCTCTTCCCATTCCGCCCCCCCCCCCCCGCTGCATTATGGCCAGATCCCCCGCAGATTCGTCACACATTACTGTAGTATTGTACTGCTGTTTATACAATATTGTGTCGTGATTGACAGATAGCCCTCCCCATCTTCACCAATTGGCTATGCTTATAAGATATACATCCAGGGTTCTTAGTTTGTGTGTGTGTGTGTGTGTGTGTGTGTGTGTGTGTGTGTGTGTGTGTGTGTGTGTGTGTGTGTGTGTGTGTATGTGTGTGTGTCAGTGTTGTTTCTGTCCGTGTGTCAGTATGTGCGTGTTTCTGTCCGCTGTCCGTGTGTCTGTATGTGCGTGTTCTGTCCGTGTGTCAGTATGTGCGTATTTCTGTCCGTGTAAGTATGTATGTCAGTACGTGCGTGTTTCTGTCCGTGTGTCAGTATGTGCGTGTTTCTGTCCGTGTATCAGTATGTGCGTGTTTGTGTCCGTGTGTCTGTATGTGCGTGTTTCTGTTCATGTATCAGTATGTGCGTGTTTCTGTCCGTGTGTCAGTATGTGTGTGTTTCTGTCCGTGTGTCAGTATGTGTGTGTTTCTGTCCGTGTGTCTGTTTGTGCGTGTTTCTGTCCCTGTCCGTGTGTCTGTATGTGCGTGTTTCTGTCCGTGTGTCAGTATGTGCGTGTTTCTGTCCGTGTGTCAGTATGTGCGTGTTTCTGTCCATGTTTCAGTATGTGCGTGTTTCTGCCCGTGTGTCTGTATGTGCGTGTTTCAGTCCATGTCTATTTATGTCCGCATCAGTGAGTCTGTCTGCGTGTCTCTATCCGAACACAAATATTTATAACTTTATAAACATAGCGACGAATGAAGCCTCTAACCCTATTTAAGTCATATAGTCCCTCTGCGCCGTCGCCTATTCATCAACAAATTCATCGACAAATTCATCGACAAATTCATCAACAAATTCACCAACAAATTCATCAACAAATTCATCAACATCAAACATCACAAATTCACCAACAAATTCATCAACAAATTCATCAACAAATTCATCAACAAATCCATCGACAAATCCACCGACACCGCCCACGAAATGAGTAACTAAGCGACGGGATATAAACCGTAAGTCTCTCTCTCTACGAAAGCACGGGCTTATATCGCGCCTTGAATATCGATGGCATGCAAATGACTGGCCGTAAATCGCGGGCGGGATAAATGTGGGCGGCGCCTTATTTTCCCCCGGCGGGAACACCGCATCCCGGCCGCTGGGATTTCATCACTCGGGGGCGATGCGCGTGGGAAAACGGAGAGGAGATAAAGATGAGAGTACTGCGGTATTAACGCTGTTATTAGAGTACTGCCGCCATGGTATTGGGTTGTTTGTTGTCGTTTGTACCCGCGTGGTTGTACTCTGGCGGTGCAGACGACGAGGCATATGGGCGTCGCGGGAACAGAGGGGCTGGTCCAGTTCGGCGACAGACACGTGACGAACGCCGCATAACAACAGGCACCGTTAGCAGCGCAACACCACAAGTAACCGCCGGCAGAATATCAAGGACACGGTAGCATCGCAGCCGTCCCGTCCACACCGTAGCACGGACGCCTCAGCACCACAATCGCCCGTCAACACCACAGCCCCGCAAGCACCCGTCAACACCACAAGCATCCTTCAACACTACAAGCACCCGCCAACACCACAGCCCCGCAGCAAACCACCACAGCCCCGCAACACCCATCAACACCACCCCACAAGCACCCGCCAACACCACAGCCACCGCAAACACCCTCAACACCACACCCCCACAAGCACCCGCCAACACCACAGCCAGCCCAACACCCATCAACACCACACCCCACAAGCACCCGCCAACACCACAGCCACACCCATCAACCACACGCCCCATCAACACCACAGCCCCCACCCCCGCCAACACGCACAAACCCCCCGCACAGCAGCACCGCCCCGGCAGGCAGCGGCGCGGGCTCTTTGTTCCGGCAGCACAGTAA